AAAAGTGTCTCCCCCTGGTGGATAAAAGTGTCTCCCCCTGGTGGATAGAAAGTGTAAAAAGTGTCTCCCCCTGGTGGATAAAAAGTGTAAAAAGTGTCTCCCCCTGGTGGATAAAAAGTGTCTCCCCCTGGTGGATAAAAGTGTAAAAAGTGTCTCCCCCTGGTGGATAAAAGTGTCTCCCCCTGGTGGATAAAAAGTGTAAAAAGTGTCTCCCCCTGGTGGATTAAAAGTGTAAACACCCACTTGACGATCCCGTATCCCAGGCTGGCGATGATGACCAGCACCCGGGCCAGAGTCCTCTTCAGGGCCGAAAGCAGCTCCGCCATCACCAGCGCCCCCTGGACTAAAGGGAGAGCTGCGTCAGCCAATGGGAGAGCAGCATAGGCAACAGCCAATGGGAGAGCAGCTCCAGCTCCACCTGATTTTAAAGCTGATTTAGGATGTTCAGCTGCTCTAATCTATGATTCTGACTAAGATCAGTGTTATCTTTGTTATATTATACATAATATGTGTATTAATATGCAACATATTTATGTATAACTTATAATATATTTATTTTTTATTTGAAATATATATGTATATATGTTAATCCTGCACTCCGCCCCCTTTCTAAGAGCCCCACAAAACAGTTTTAAAAGCAACACTGACTGGGTTTGCTTTGGGAGTCGCGTTGTATAAAAGCGTCTAAATGCAGAAACATAAACATTTAGCATTGTTTTAGCATCATTTAGCACCATTTTAGCATTTTTTTCTCATTGTTTAACATCATTTTAGCATCGTTTTAGCATTTTTAACATCGTTTTAGCATAATTTTTGCATTGTTTTAGTATTTAAAGCATCATTTTTGCATTTTTACATTTGCTTGAGGACCATTTTTGCATTTTCATCATCGATTAATCATCGTTTTAGTATTTCTAGCATCGTTTTAGCATTATTTTAGCAGTTTTAGCCTTGTTTAAGCATAATTTTAGAAGTTTTAGCATTGTTTTAACATCACTTTTGCATTTTTAGCATATTTTTAACACCATTTCAGCTTTATTTTGGTATTTTTAGCATATTTTTAACACGTTTCAGCATCATTTTTGCATTTTTGGCATCGTTTTTGCATTTTCATCATAGTTTTACCCCCCCCCCTACCTGGCAGCCCCTGGTAGCGGAGGCTCTGGAACTCGGCGTAGTAGACGGCCTTCTCTAGCATTCCCAGGAAGATGACGCCTCCGATCCAGAACTGGATCCGGAGCAGGTCCCTCCAGTAGCAGGCGGCCAGCAGCAGCCAGAGGGCGGCCAGCAGCGCGTACAGGACGCACATCAGCAGGTAGAACTGCACACAGCAGAGGTTTATATACCAAAACTGGGCCATATCTGTGGTTTTTATTCTAAAAATGTGCAATATTTATGGTTTTTATTCTAGAATGTGGAATATTTACAGTTTTTATCCTAAAAATGTGGAATATTTAAAGTTTTTGTCATTAAAATGTGCAATTTTTACAGTTTTTATCCTAAATATGGGCAGTTTTTACTATCATATTTACAGTTTTTATCCTAAAAATGTTCAATATTTACACTTTCTATCCTAAAACTGTGCAATACTTATGGTTTTTATCCTTAAAATGTGCCAGTTTTACAGTTTTTACTATCATGTTTACAGTTTTTAACCAAAAAATGTGCAATATTTACACTTTTTATCCTTAAAATGTGCATTTTATACAGTTTTTATACAAACAAATATAATTCTTTACAGTTTATATTCTAAAAACTAGCAATATTTACAGTTTGTAATAGTAAAAATAATATACATTTATACATATACATATTATATACAGTTTTTTATCCTAAACGTGAATGTTTTACAGTTTTGATCCTAACAATGTTCAGTATTTACCGTTTTTAATCATAACAATGAGCAATATTTACAATTTTTGTTTTGAAAATGCGAAATATTTAGTTTTTACAACTATATTTACAGTTTATAAAAAATTGGCAATATTTACCGTTTTTGATGATAAAAATGTGCAATATTAAAAAAAAATACTTTTATATTTACAGTTTTTATCCAATAAATTTTCAATATTTACAGTTATCAATCATAAAAATGTGCAATATCTACAGTTTTTAGGACTATATTTACAGGTTTTATCCTAAAAATGTTCAAGTTATTATCCTACAATGTGCAATATTTA